TGGGGTTGGGGCGGGGGGAGGTGTTGTGTCCTGCCGAGCCCCCCTCTGACCGCTCCTTCCCCAGTTGGAAAAACAAAACAAAAACTTTTGGCGTAGGTGTGACCTTAAATCGCGCCGTGCCCTGGCGGGTCCGCGGCGAGGTAAGTGCTCGGGCAGCCCCGGGAACAGGGGGGTCAGCCCGAGGGACGGGAACCCGCCTTTCCCGGAGGGTTTCCAACGCCACCTGCTGTTCCTCTCTCCCCGAGCCTGACGGGGACTGTCCCTTGCATTTTCAGCACCCAAGGTCTGCGATGCCTGCAAAAACAAAAATGAAGACGATAATGACATCGTGGAAAACCTCTGCAAAAATGACTTCGGTAAGTGGAAGCAGAGCCCCCTCGGTTGAAACCTGAGAGTTGAGGATCAGGTAAGACTCCCAGTGGAACGAGAGGGAGATGTTCCTGAATAAAGACAGGGATTCATGACTGTTTGGTCATGAAGCACAAACTTCCACCTTGGAATAAAAAGTGGCCCTTTTTATAGTTCTTTTCTCTTTGCTGTGTCAAAGTAGTACTCTTTTATGTGGATGTTGCTGACAAGCCAAAGGGAAAGGAAAACAAAAAAGAAAGAAATAGAATCTTTCATCCAGGCTATTGCCTGGGGAGTAGTAGAGCAAAGCTTCATAGAGATAGATGAGAAGGAGCCACATGACTTGTATCATCTCTTGTATCAGAAGAACGACTCTCTCTGCAGATTAAGAATGAAGCTCTATATATCATTTGACAGAGAAAGTAATGCACAGACCATAGGGGATATAAACTTAATGGGAAGATCTGGGGTTAGAAGAGGACAAGAAAGCCCCTTCCACACAGACAACTGAACAGCACATTATCTACACATTAGCATTTCAAGACAAAAAGGGAATAAGGAGGGGAATCCTTTTATATTAGGTCAATGTTTATACCTGGAAACAGGCTTTTAGTGTAAGTATCTGTAACAATTCAAAAGTTTTTCTTAAAAAAAACCAAACACAAAAAAAACACAGAACAACACAACCCAAACACCACCCAAAACACCACTCTGTGACACAATTGCCAAAACAACCAATCACTTTGGCCTGGCAAATTGTACTCAGATGAATCCTCCTAAAGCTCAACTTGAATCAGAGATTCTTACAGAGTCTTGTATCCCCCTCCTAGCTGTTTTACCAAATCAAATGCAGCTGTTGAATCAATTCATCCTCTGTGGGATCTATTATTTTAAAAATACAATGCATGTGAAATATAATTTCCTTACAGGTTGGCCTAAAATCCTCTCCAGACTAATAAATAATGTTTAGAAGTTTTCAGCCACAGCAGAGATCAGGTTTCAGATTAGGTCTAGGCACTCACCTCCCCACCTCCCCTTCAAACCTCTAGTTCTAGAAAGACTGTCCTCTCCCAGCAAAAGTCAGAGTGCTGCTTAACGTAGCAAACCTACCCTCTCTCTGTTTGCAAACAGGAGAAAAGCCAGGGAAAATATTAATTCAGAAAGGAAGGAAAAAAGAGGGGGAGAGGTGAAAAGAAATAAAAGAAATCTCTGCCCTAAGGTTGATTGAAACTGAAATGACTTGCATGCCCTTTGTGGCTTTAGAAATGGAGCCACCTGCTGCCTCTTCTGTCAGCCCTGACAGTTTAATTAGCAATAGAGCACCTCCCTCCCCACGTCCTCTTTATGT